CTGAAAGAGCATTAGGAGATGCCCAATCAGAGGCTATAGAGTGAAGGGAAGAGTGGGTAGTGGGTGTGCAGTGGGTGTGTGGCTGAGTGAACTGCAGTGCCTTCCTAGAAGAAACTCCAGTCAGGACTAGTGGCACATGCCTACAATCTCAGCATCTCAAAGGCTGAGGCAGGAGGCTAGAGAATTGAAGAACAACCCGGGCTACATAGAAAGATTCTATCAAAAAGAAAAAAAAAGAGCCAGGTCCAGTGGCTAAAGCCTATGATCCTAGCTACTCAGGAGGCTGAGATGTGAGGATCATGGTTTGAAGTCAGCCCAGGCAGGAAAGTCCAGAGACTCTTATTTCCAATTAACTACCCCCTCTCCCCACCAAAACAAACAAACAAACAAACAAAAACAAAACAGAAATGGAGTTGTGGCTCAAATTGTAGAGCACTAGCCCTAAGCTAAAAAAAAAAAATCTCAGAGACAGTGCCCAGTCTTGAGTTCAAGCTCCAGGACTGTCATAAAAAGAAAAGGTAAGGAGTAAAGAGGACAGGGGAGGGGAGGGGAGGGGAAAGGAAGGCAAGGGAGGGGAGGGGAGGCCAGGAGAGGAGGAGGAGAAGAAGGGAGGGCAGGAGAGGGGAGGAGAGGGGAGGAGGAGGAGGAGAGGAGAGGAGAGGAGAAAAAAGGGGAGGAGAAGAGGAAGAGAGGGGAGAGGAGGAAAGGAGAAGAAGAAGGGGAGGAGAGGGGAGAGAGGAGAGGAGAGGAAGAAATAAGAACAGTCACCTAGCTCAGTCACCTAATTTGTTAGGTGATTCTGGGAAATTCCTTTCCTTCCTTGAGCTCACTTTCTATATCTTCACTTTCTTTGTGATAGTCTTCAGGTTTCTATTTCCAGCCACAGTGGTCTACAGATACCATTTTGATCCCCACTCACTTTGCAAGGACCTAATCTCAGCATAGAGTACTTTTTGTGGGTGAGTCTCCAGATCAGCTTTAATTCTGTGAAGAGCAGAATCTAGCCAGGAGCTGGTGGCTCACACCTGTAATCCTAGCTACTCAGGAAGCTGAGATCTAAAGATCATGATTTGAAGCCAGTTCAGGCAGGAAAGGCCGTGAGACTCTTATCTACAATTAACCACCAGAAAAAGCCAGAAGTGGCACTGTGGCTTAAGTGGTAGAGCACTAGCCTTGAGCAAAAAAGGAACTCACTCAAGGGACAGAGCCCAGACCCAAAGTTCAAGCCCCAGTACTGGCACAAAAATAAAGAGCAGAATCCACAGATGTGAGACCCCTCACCAAGACATTCACGGAGAACACACATCCTGTGTATATTGTTTATTATCCATTCTGTACACCGACTTTATTACAAGTAACATCTAGTAAAGCACAGACCCCCAACCCTGCCCACCAGGGCTCACATTCTAACAGCCCCAGGGGCCTAGTAATTTCTCAATGCACCGCCAAGCACCTGTAGCTATTTGCAGTGACTTCTAAGGAAGGCACTGAGGATCTGCTATGTAAGGTAGCATGAAAGCAATGGGTGGTGAGAACATTCTCTCTTTGGGAGAAGGAGATTCTGGGAATGGAAGGAATGAAGAACCCAAAGCATCCTGCCACCCATCCTCTATGAACCACACTGTGATTTCCTTCTCCATCACCTCCCCAACACCAGATTTAGCTCTAACTGCCTGGCCTGTCCACCTGTGTGAGGCTTATTGCAAAAGGCTGTAGGACACATCCACGGTCTTTTCAGCAATTCTACGGATTCAGTTAAGTGTCTGCCCTACATTTCCTGAGGCTGAAGTCAGCTACAGAAGAAGCTCTCCTCTGACATCTGAAGGATTGCGGTGACTGTGTGGCTTTCCAGGAAAGGCTATAAGAACCTGGGTGTACGTCTACATTTTAGAGAGGAGAAACACATACACAGCCCAACAATTCCCATGATGAGTGCCAGTTTTTCTTCCATGGGTGGGTGAGAGAAATCTTTCCCTGTATTTACAAAGCTTTGGATCTACACAGCACCAGGTGAGACTCCAATGACTGAATCTACAGGAGGCACTAGGGAGATGAATCCTATTTCCTTTGGTCTCAAGATGAAATCCCTAGACAAGACGTGTCGTCTGGTACAGACTTGGAAAAGCAAAGGCACAGACTCCTGAGCAACATATAGAACAAGCAGCTTTTGCTCTTTCACAAGAGGGCAGACATAAAAGGATGTAAGTTGGGGCATCCATGTATTGAGCACTTTTTAAATCACTGGTTCTAATTGGCTTTTTTAGATTTTCTCCAACACTGACTTCCCTTCCCCATTCCTATGAAGGTAGCTGCTAACTGGTAAGCCAGTGAACAGAGAGAAAGGGAACTCTGTATCCTAACCCAGCTTTGGAAGACCACATTGCTCATTCCAAGCCCAGGAATAGAGTGAATGTTTCATTCTGTTGGAGGAAACCATCCACCCAACATTTGTGGGAACTCCCTGATCAGACAACTGAAGGAAGGATCTGGTGAAGGGAAGACCAGAGAAGCTGAAGGGCCTGACAAAGGAGAGAAGGTCTGATGACTCCATCCAACCTCTGCTGGGAAAAAGGAACAGGTGAGCTCAGAAGTTCATAGAAAGGGTCCATCCCTTCCATCTAGGGGCATATCTGAAGACAGCTATCTTATGGCACGCCTTTGGACCAGAGAGAAAAGCACTGGGGCATCAGCCAAGGAGAGAAGCCCAGAGGTTCTGGGTTAAGATTGGCAGGGAACACTGGAGACTAAGGATTCTTACCTTCTCTCCACCTCTGGTCCCCTCCTTCCTGAGCACAGCTGGAGCCAGGGCATAGAAGCACTTGATGGTTCTGTGTTTGAGGACTGTGGACCAAAGCATGCCTCCATGAGGAGGAGGGCAGGCCCAGCTTCCCCTCTAGCCCCAGGACCCACATAGTAAGCTGCAGTCAGCAGAAAGATGCCCATACTCTGAGCTGCGGGCTCACTTCCTTTTGGGTCTAGGCAAGCCTTGCCCAGGTATACCTAAAGTTGCTACAGATACTTTGTAAACATCTTGGAGATCCAGATTTGCCTTGGGACATGACAACTCTTGAGTGACATCAGATTCTCTGGGATAGAGAGTAAAAGGCTATAAAGGGCAGTTGTTTTTGTTGTTTGTTTTGAACAAACCTTTCTTTCTGAACCTTTCTGCCAGGAGAGTGGAGAGGAAACCTAGTTACTCTTAAATCGAGTGCTAAGGCCCTGGGGAATTCCTGGGGAAGCAGGAGGAGCTATAAGTGTGGATCAGGATGGTTGGAGAGTTTTGTAGATCCTGGAAATTCTTTCCTGAATAGATACAGAAACCTGAAATTCTCCATTTTCATTTTTACTTTAGAATTGGAGAACTTGCTGTCCAGAGAAAAACCAAGCATGTCCTTATAGATCTTTTTCTTTTTCTTTCTTCTTCTTCTTTCTTTCTTAAACAAATGTGAATGTATGGATAGCAGGAAAGGCAGCAAAAGCAGGTTATTGGTGAGACTGTAAACTTGAACCCAAACCAACCAATTTATAACCAGACCACCAGCAGAGGGCGCCCCAGAGAGTTCCCTCTCACCCAGTGTGACCTGTCAGTGAGCACCTCAGGCAGCTGTCTGTGAAAGCCCTGAAGTCTAGCTGCTAGCTGACTAATGTTGATGGAGAATTTTAGCATGGCATTAGAGGGATTCCTGGTTTCCATTACACTTGGATGTTCAGTGAAAGACCTCATCTCTGAGCTATTTTACTTCCCCCAAATGGAGAGTGAAAATTCAAAACAGATATAGGCATATTATGCCCATAAAAGGCACCAGCAGAAGGCCCTCCAATGAATGGCTGGTTGGCAGGAAAGGGGGCGTAGCTGGATAGGCTGTTGTAGTCAGGATGCTTCTGACCTGTCCAGAATCTTAGAATATAATAGGACCTCCTCTCCAAGCAGAGCCTCCCGTGCCTCTCCCTTGATCTCCTCCACCGCTGGGTTGGTCCCCTGGGGGGACAGTGACAGCCATCCTCCCAGTCCTCTGGAAGAAGCTTGGGAGGAGTCGTGTTCTTGTTCTTAATCTGATCCTGTTGATCTGGGTATGTTTGGTTTATGGCCATTCACCAAGCTGCACCACGCTTCCACTTTTATGTTGATATAGGATACTTCAATTAAAAAAAGAAAACCATAGGGGTGAATGCAAGTACCCCAGGCATCAAGTTTTTTTTTCCATTTAGTACCAATAGGATGGCTTCAGTGTTTTCTCAAGTTAGAAATTCTATGTGATTTTATTTCATAAAGGGCTAAAAAAATGTTGTTTGCAGTTTCAAAATACTCTCTGAAAGGATGAACTTATTGCACTTGATGCCTTTTTTTTTTCCTTCTCCAGATGAGAAATCCCAAGCAATGCTGACGACGGCTGTGTCCATGGCAGACCAGCATGGATTTCCTTCTCTCTTACAGAGCATCCTGCAAGCCCAGGTGCTCAGCAGCTTGTAAGAAACCAGCTGACTGGTTTCAAGCCTTCTTGGAGGAGAGAATTCACTTTACCTTGAGGAGCAGAATCAAGCCATGGCACACACAAAAGAAGCAAAAGAAGAAACATCAACTTATATAATACCTTGAGGAGAGGGGCTGTCTGGGTAGAGAACTATCCCACAAAGTGAGCAAGCAGGCTTTGCCATGGAGTCTACAGCGAACAGGAGGAGGCTGAGCACAGGGAAGGTTGCTCTTGGAGGAAAGTGGTAAGGGTTTGGGGAGAAGAGCCCCCTCTGAAAGAGAGTTAGGCATGGGGCCTAGAAGCCCCTCATTTTTCTATGGCCCGTTGGATCTCTCTGTTGGTATAAGGCCTATGAGACCTGTTTCTCTAAAGTAGAACTGAGCAGATCAAGAGAACAAGAAACACCTTCCTCTAGGGCCGAGATGGCTAGCAGAGCTTGGCTCTGTGCACCTAAGGTTAGAGACTTCATGGCCACATTTCCAGGTCCTCCTTTCTAACCCTTCCCAAGCCCTGCTCCAGCCTGCCCCCCTAACACTCATTGGGAGCCTTCATCTGCATCAGGACGGCCTGGCTCCTTTTCTTGCAGCAACAGCAACAGATGCAGGCAGCCAGAGAACAAGCCAAGGCAATAATACCAATGACAATGGCGGCGATGGCAAGCCCGCTCTGGGCCCTGGTCATTCCCCATGTGTTGCGATCATCAGTGGCACCAATAGTGGTCAGATCGGTGTAGTCTTCCACAGGGCTGGTGATGATGTCAGTGGTGGAGGAGATGGATGTGGTGTCGGGGTATCTGGGGGTCTCAGGGTAGCTGGGGGTATCTGGGTATTGTGGTGTTTCCGGATAGCTGGGCGTTTCGGGGATTGCTGGGACCTGGCCACTTGGCATAGGGCCATTGACATTGATGATGATGAGGGACTGGCCTCGAACATTGGCTGGGCTGGAACACACTGGCAGAGTGTCCGTCCCTAATCTGGCCTTGTTCATCAGGAGCCAGTTGCGAAGGGGAAGGATGTCAGAGTCACATCTCCAGGGATTGTCATAAAGTCTCAGCTCACACAGGTTTCCCAAGTGATCAAAAATGCCCCGGGGTAGGTTCTCTAGGTAGTTATTCTGCAGCTGGATGGTCATGAGGCCATTGACGTTGGAAAAGAGGCTCCCTGGGAGCTGTCTGAGTCGGTTGTTCTGCAGGGAGATGTTCTGCAAGTTGGCTAGCATACGGAAGACATTCCCATCCAGGTCCTGCAGAGCGTTGGTGTGGAGGGAGAGCTCTCGGAGCTCTGTCAGCCCATTGAAGGCACCAGGGGAGATGAAGCTGATCTGGTTGCGACTAAGAATCAGCACCTGCAGCTGGTTGAGGCTGCTGAAGATGTTGTCAGGCAAAGAAGTGATTTGGTTATCATAGAGCCACAGCTCTCGCAGGTTGTGCATGGGCCCAAAGATGCCTGGAGAGAGCTCCTTCAGGGAGTTCCCGAAGAGCGTGAGCCGGTTGAGTTGGGGCAGCTGCATGAAGATGCCAGGGGGCAGCTGTGAGATGTGGTTATTGGACAAATAGAGTCTCTGGAGGTTACGATTGTTGTGGAAGAGGCCAGGGGAGAGTGTGCTGATCTGGTTCTGCTGAAGGGCCAGCTCCTGGAGGTTGCCCAGCCCATCAAAGGTGCCCATGGGAATGTCTGAGAGCCTGTTCTCAAAGAGTCGGAGGACCTGGAGGTTGCCGAGATGCTGGAAGACCCTGGGGGACAAGTGAGTGAGGCTGTTCTTGCCCAAGTTGAGTTTGGTAAGCCCCACCAGGTGGTCAAAGACGCCATCGGGAACGTATTCCAGATGATTCCCATGCAGCTGCAGCTCCTTAAGGTTGCTGAACTGGGAGAAGTGGGCTGGCTGGATCTGCACCAGCTGGTTACTGGACAGGAGGAGGGACTCCAGGTTGTCCAGGCCCTGGAAGAGGCCGACGGGCAGCATCTGTAGCTTGTTGTTGGCCAGGCTGAGGTAGCGCAGGGAGCCAAGGTTGCGGAAGGCACCCGGCATGATGTGGGACAGCTCATTTTTCTCGATCCTCAAGGCAATGAGGGCTGAGATGTTGAGAAATGGGGCCTCGTTGAGCTCAGTGATGTGTGTGTTGAGGATCTGCAGGCTCATGGCGTTCCAGGGCAGAGGGCTGGGCACTGCCACGATGCGCGCCCCCGTGCACTCCACTTGGGAGGCCCGTGAGCAGGTACACTCACTAGGACAGCCATAGTAAGCCAAGCCTGCAGCCCAGGCCTGGCAGCCCACCAGCAAGAGGAGATAATGTTTCAGTGGCATGGCCTGTGGGGAGAGAGAGAGAGAAAGAGAGAGAGAGAGCGCCTAGGTGAGTCAAAAATCACCTCACTGACTTAAGCCAGTTTTAAGCCAACATCAACCTTCAGGATCAATCAGGGCTTGGCTTTGAGCCCTGTGATTATGTCCCCAATTCAGTACCTCCCTGTTCTGGCCAAAAAGCCTTCTTGTTTCTCCCTCCCATGCATACCTTCGTGGCTAGGCCCAAGCCATCCCTCCATCTAGAGTGCTCCTTGTCCTCTCCCCCTGTCCTCCCCATTCTTTTAAGTCAAGTTCAAATACAATCGACTGTTGGAAACGTTCCCAGTTCCACTTGGCATTCATTACCTCCCATGCGAGTGGTCACCTCAACCTCCTCTGTTGCCCCAGGCAGCCTTGTGTGCCATTCTGTTCTCAGTGCTTGTTAAAGAGCTTTCTAAGGACAAGGAGCTCATCTTTCAATCCTACAGGCTGTATCAGCTCCTCAGTAGCCCTCATGGTATCTGGACAGGTTGGCTGGACACAGCTTTGTCAGGAGGAATAGAGAGGACATGAGAAAAAGTAAATCGGGCTGACGCCTGGGAAGATGTTCAGGCTATAAAGAAAATGGCTTCCAGGAAGGGCAGCAGCAGCAGAAGCTGGAAGAGTGAGGGCCACACTGCCAATGGATGGGAAGAATACAGAGAAGCTCAACTCTTCCGCCACTGTGGCCCGGCCCTGCCCTGCCCGGCCCTGCCCAGCCCATCATTGCCAACAACCTGACCCTTTGTGAGCCCTTCCATGTGTGCTGCTTCTAGGGTTAACTCAAACCACTTTTATGATGAACGGCCATTGTCTGCACCGTGCGCTGACTTTTGGGAGGGGCTGTCAGGACTCACAGATGCCTGGGGCCTGGTTTCTGGGGACTCGTCCCAGTTTCCATAAAGAAACACTGGGTGGCCTGGAGTGAGTCCCAGAAAACTTAGACACATTTTATTCTGAAGTGTATGGGGGAATTCAGATGCCCACTGAGGCGCAGAGCTGATCCGGGAAAAGAACCAAAATCATGAAAGATTTGAAGTCACTCCTGATGACATTTTCTATAGGCTGAGATCTGAGGATAACGGTTCAAAGCCAGCCCAGGCAGAAAAGTCCGTGAGACTCTTATCTCCAAGAAGCCACTAGAAAACTGGAAGTGGCCCTGTGGCTCAAGAGGTAGAGTACTCGCCTTAAGCTGAAGAGCTGAGGGAGAGTACCCAGGCCCAGAGTTCAAGCCCCATGATCAACCCCCCCCAAAAAAAATGTAGACAGAATAGTCGGGCACCAGTGGCTCACACCTGTACTCCTAGCTACTCAGGAGGCTGAGATCTGAGGATTGCGGCTCAAAGCCAGCCAGGGCAGGAAAGTCTGTGAGACTCTTATCTCTAATTAACCACTGGAAAATCAAAAGTGGCGCTGTGGCTCAAGTGGTAGAGCACTAGCCTCGAGCTGAAGAGCTGAGGGACAGCGCCCAGGTCCAGAGTTCAGGCCCCATGACCAGACCCAAAAAAAAAAAGAAAGAAAGAAAGAAAGAAAGAAATACGGGTTGCTCTAAGTGCAGGTCCCTATGTGAGTATCTAAGTACTACTGTTTGACCTTCAATGCATCTTAAATTTGATTTCAATGAAGACTGAGGCTGTAGAGTTACAGATTCCCCATCTGCTTAGTGGGGATGATGACATGACCTCTGTCCCTTCTTGGGGCTGTTGTGAAGAGCGAATGGGAGAAAAGACCTGAGGGCATCCTGTAAGCGTGCCAATGTATGAGTGTTCCACTTACCCACAATGTCCACCTGTAGACTTCTGAAGGCAGGAAGGCCTCAAAGAGTTTCTGATCCCAGGAAGTTTTGTGAAGGGACAGGATTTTGATGTACAATTGAGAGCATTTGTCACTTCAAAGGGGCCTGTGACTTCTGAAGGGCTAAGGGGTTACTACTTCATATCATTTTATGGAAAAATAAAAGCTTAGAACTCCAAGTATTAAAGCAGTGTCTTGCCTTGTGTCTGTGTGTGTGTATGTGTGTATGTGTGTGTGTATATTGATATGGGAGCTTGAACTCAGGGTTTCAAGCTCTGTCTTAGCTACGTTGTTCAAGGCTAATACTCTACCACTTAAGCCACACCTCCATTTCTGGCATTTTGCTGGTTAATTGGAGATAAGGGTTGAATTTGTCTGCCCAGGCTAGCTTCAAAGGATGATGCTCAGAGCTCAGCCTTCTGAGTAGCTAGCGTTACCAACATGAGCTACCAGTACCCATTTAGTCTCTCTCCTTTTAATGAGCAAAGACTTGAGTTGGAGGAAGGATTGTGAAATGAGGCATATACTAGGCACAGGCTGGCTGGATAGAGAAGGCTCTCAGAACTCATATTCCTGAGCCTGGCTGATAACAGAAAACTATCTCGAGTTTCCACTCTGACCTTGCTCCCCAACAAGCACAATGTAAAGGGGAAACCCTCACCCCGTTCATCAGGTGACTCATCCCCCACCCACATAGACCTTGACTGTTAACTTATTCACAGCCCACCCAAGCCCTGACAAAGTGGACTTGGGTTAAAGACTTTGGTGAGGTAATGAATAGAACAGCGGGGAAAGGAGAGGAAATAAAACACCTTGGCCAATGGAGTGTATAGACAATGGACCTAGACTATACTGTGAACCACATCTAAAAAAAAAGTGAACTCGTGTAGAAAAAAATGGCAGGTCTAGAAATTGACAGCAGAACACTGTTTGCACAGAGGGCACATGCAAAAAAGTGCTTAACATCCAACACTGAGGGCCTCTTGTTGATATGGTAATAAAGAAAGGAGGCTGGCCACAAAAACTGATGTGATCTAAGACTTCGTTTGTGGATGTATCAATTGTGGAACAAGAGCCCTGCCCTACCCTGCCCTGCCCTGGCTCTCAGTCACATCTCTACTGCTGTGTTCTCTTCTTCTCTGAACTTGAAGGTAGATAATGAGGAGCTGGCTTCCTGATGAACTTCTAGAGGATGGGGAGGGGACCCAGAAACCAGAACATCTAAGCATCGTTTGAAGGAGCTGGGAATGAATAGCCAGGAGAGATGTAGGGAGTTACCAGCCCCTCCCAGTACACACAAAGGCAGCCCTGGGATAAAAGAAGCTACCTGACTCAGTGTGACTCCTGAGGCCAAAGCTGGTGTACAGAGGCCATGGGGTCATAGATTTCCATCAGTAAGAGCTTGTCCACACTCAGAACTGACAACTTCGTAGAGATGGCTAAACTTCTCATGACTGGGTATGTTAAAGCAGAGTTGAGCAGCCACCTGATAAGGAAGGTGAAGAGAAGATTTCTATACCCAGCAGGAAGGCAGCCTAGAAGACAGCAATGTGCTGCCATCCCTAACATTTCCAAGGCTCTTCCAGGCCCTGGAGGTAAAGCACTGTCTCCTACGACCACTGAGCCTATGTTCCCAGGGGCTGTGAGGGCCCATCCCTTAGGTGGATGTTTTTAGGATTATCTAATGTCACCTGGCACTGATGGCTCACTACTGTAAGCTACTCAGGAGGTTGAGATCTGAGGACTCCAATTCCAAGCCAACTCAGGCAGGGAAGTCCATGAAACTATCTACAATTAACCACCAAAACATTGGAAGTGGAGCTGTGGCTCAATTCATAGAGTACTCCTCTTGAGTAATAAAGCTAAGGTATAGTGCCCAGGCCCTGAGTTCAAGCCCCAGGGATGGCACACACAGACACAGACATAAACACACAGATGAGGTTTTGCTTGGACTTGTGCTGGTTGACTGACTGACTGGTTGATTAAATGATTGATTGATTGGTTTACAGTAGTCCTTGAATTTGCTGGGCAGGTTTTCTACCACCACTTTGGACATATCCTTAGCCCCCACTTTTTTTTTCAGTTATTTCTCAGATATGAGCTTGAGTGTTTACCTTGGCTGGCTTGTGAAACTCTACCTCTACCTCCTCCAGAGCTGGGATTACAGGAATTCTTCAACCTAGCCAGCTTGTTCTTTGAGACAGGGATCCAATTAACTTGTTTCGGTCTAGGTTAGCCTTGAACTGAGATACTACTTTCTCCACTTCCCAAGGAGCTAGGATTATAGACACAGGCCACTATTCCAAGCGTAAGTTTCCTGTGTAAATGTGAAGAGGACTCATCAGAGTCCATACTCTTTAGCTAAGGAGGGACATCAAGCCACTCCCGAGAAGAGCTCTGGGCCAGAAGACTGCACCTCATAGCTGGGAGGTGTCAGGGAGATAATTCAAAGTGGGAACCCAGCAACTGCTGGCTAAAAGGGACCACACTCAGTGCAACAAATATTACAGGAATCTGAAGATTGTCTTCTTATTAACCATCCTGTCTGCGGAGCCCACCCAGAGCCACATAACAGCTGCTTCCTGCTTTTTAGCAATGTGACTGTGGCCACTTGGAGCAGCCAGCCTATAGCAAAGAGCCCGCCTCTGCCAGATGCAGACTCTCAGGGGACAGAGAACCCCATGCAGGCCTGGGGCTGGGTCTTGGACTTGAAGCCAGTACTCCAGACACGTGTACAACAACATCCGGCCTTCAGGAGCCGGTACCCGGTGGCCTAATAGCCCACGCTGTCCAGTGCTGCTTGGCAGCCGTGATGATGGCAGTTAAAGACCCACAAAGCTGCCCTAATTACACCTCCCTCCCCCAGGCAGCTGAGGGCATTCTCAATCACTGCAGCAACTCAGTCCAGCCCTTGTCCCGCCCTAGGGGAAGAGAGTAATACCTGGTGTCAGTCAAGGCCCATGAAGTCAGTGAGCTGGGCAGCCAGACCGAAGGACAGTCAGACAGCTCACCTGGACATGGACGCAGCCCCTCCCCAATAGAAGAAGCCATTGAACCAGGGCGCTGGCTGTGGGGCTCCATGCAGAAACTCCCTGTGACTCATGAGCGAACACATAATTAGCACGGAAGCCCTGGGCTTTGTTGGTTGGTTTAATACCAACACTTATTCCCTAAACACAACATTCCCTGGA